CAACTATCCTGTGCACCAATTCCACCTACATCAAACCCCTCAAGGTCCCCATCTCCAACAGCCATAAAACTCTTACCACATAAAGAGTGTTCTTCAGTTGGAGGGGCCTATCAATTGGGGAATGGCTGAAGAAGTTGTGGTATTTTAATATAATGGAATACTATTGTGCTATAAGAAATGATGAGCAGGATAATTTCAGAAAAGCCTGGAAAGACTTATATGAACTGATGCAAAATGAAGTGAAAACCAGAAGAATATTCTACACAGTAACAGCAAGATTAATAAAGTATGAATGACTTAACTATCCAAGACAATTCTAAAGGATACATGATGAAAAATGCTATCCACAGCTAGAGAAACAACTGATGGGAGTCTGAATGCAGATTGAGGCATAACATTTTTGCTTTATTTTTTTATGTTCTTCTTTTGTTCTGTTTCTTCTTTCACAACATGATTAGTGTGGAATTATGTTTTACGTAATTACACATATATAACCTATATCAAATTGCTTACTATCTTAGGGGAGAGATGGGGAAGGAGGAAGGGAGAAAATTTGGAACACAAAAATTTTTTAATATTTTATTTTTGCCAAGTTACATGTAAAGGGAATTTTTAACATTAATTTTTTAAAAAAATTTTGAGTTCCAAATTTTCTCTCTCCCTCCCTCACCTCTCCATTTCTGAGACAGTAAGCAATTTTATGTAGGTTTTACATATCCTATCATGCAAAACACATTACCATATTAGTCATATGGAAGAAGACACAGACCCAAAGGGCAAAAAAAAAAAAACACAAAAAGAAATCCAGAAAGTAAAAAAACAGTATGCTTTGATCTGCATTCAGACTCCATCAGTTCTTTCTCTGGAGATGGATAGCATTTTTAATCATGAATCCTTTGGTATTTTTCTTGGATCATTGTATTGCTCAGAAGAGCTAAGTCATTAACAGTTGATCATTGTACAGTATTGCTGTTACTGTATACAATGTTCTCTTGCTTCTGCTCACTTCACTTTGCATCAGTTCATATGAGTCTCTCCAGGTTTTTCTGAATCAATCTGCTCATCATTTCTTATAGCACAATAGTATTCCATTACAATCATATACCACAACTTGTTCATCCAATCCCTAGTTGATGGACATCCCCTCAATTTCCAATTCTTTGCCACCACAAAAAAAGCTGCCATAAATATTTTTTATACAAATAAGTCCTTTTCTTCCTGCCTCCCTCTCCCCCGCCTTTTTTTTAATCTCTTTGGGATGTAGACTTAGTAGCTGTATTGCTGGGTCAAAGGGTATGCAGAATTTTATAGCCCTTTGGGCCTTGTTCCAAATTGCTCTCCAGAATGGATGGATCAGTTCACAACTCCCCCAACAGTACATTAGTATCCCAACTTTTCCACATTCCCTTCAACATTTATTATTTTCCTTTTCTGTCATGTTAGCCAATCTGATAGGTGTGAGGTGGAACATCAGAGTTATTTTAATTTGTGTCCCTCTAATCAGTAGTGATTTAAAGCATTTTTTCATATGACTAGAGATAGATTCATCTGAAAACTGCCTGTTTATATCCTTTGACCATTTAACAATTGGGGAATGACTTGTATTCTTACAAATTTGAATCATTTCTCAATATAGTTGAGAAATGAGGCCTTTATCAGAGATACATGCTGCAAAAATTGTTTCCTAGCTTTCTGCTTTCCTTCTAATCTTGGTTGCATTGATTTTGTTTATGTAAAAACTTTTCAATTAATATAATCAAAATTGTCCATTTTATATGTCATTTGGTCACAGATTCTTCCCTTCTCCATAGATCTAACAGGTAAATTATTCTTTGCTCTCCTAATCTGCTTATGGTATCACCCTTTATGTTTAAATCATATACCCATTTTGATCTTATCTTGGTATATACAATGTAAGATATTAATCTATACCTAGTTTCTGCCATACTATTTTCCAGTTTCCCAGCAGTTTTTGTCAAATAGTGAGGAATTCAAAATTTTAAAAAAAATGAATGCTAAAAATTGTCTTTACATGTAATTGGGAAAAAGAAAATGCTATTACACTTTTTTAACTAAAAAAAGAGAGAGCACTCTTCAGAGCAACCCCTTGTCTCATTTCGGTTGAGACGACTTCCTTTCATTCCCCATTTCAATCCCTCCTTTATACTCTATTTCCCATTCTTCTTCAGCCCCTCTTCTTGCTACCTCCCACCTCTCCCACATCTATGAGGCCTTCAACTGAGAAATTTTGTCTTAAAAAATTCACAGAGTCATTTATAGGAAAGTTGTGAGGTGTAGTCCATGATGCTTTAGTTCTGTTCCTCTACCTTCTGTTTAATATCTTTATCTCCTTTGTACATTTTGTTGCTGTTGAGTCATTTGCAGTTATGTCTGACTCTTCATGACTCCTTTTGGAAATTTCTTGGCAAAGATACAGAGAGTAGTTTGCCATTTCCCTCTCCAGCTCATTTTACAGATGAGGAAACCGAGGCAAAAAGGATTAAGTGATTTGCGCAGGGTCACACTGCTAGTAAGTATCAGAGGCCAGATTTGAACTAAGGTCCTTCTAACTCCAGGCTACAAATTTATATTGCATAATCACAACTGGGCTGTCAATGAGGAAAGGCAATCCTTTCATGCCCATCCTAAATGAGTCACTATCCCATCACCAGAGTGGCTTTTCATCCCTCTTCAAATGTCACATGGCTTCCTCTCCCCACTTCCCTCTCAACTGAGAACCTTCAATGAAAAAATTGAGGCCAGTCACCAAGAGATCCCTATTATACACTCCATCCTCCACTCATCTCACATCACTCAGATGCCTTCTCCTTTACTCCTCTCTCACGTCTTACTAGGGAAAACTCCTCTCCATGTACAATTGATCCCATCTAACTCTTCTCCAGAAAACTGCCCCCTTTATCATCTTTACTTTTTCATTAGTCTTCAATTTCTCCCTGTCCATTGGCTTCTTCCTTACTGCTTACAAACATGCTCATGCCCCATCCTCAAAAAAAAAAACCAAAACCCTCATTTGACCTACTCCTCCCCTCTACCAATAATCCTGCATCTCTCTTCTCTTTTGTGGCTAAACTTCTAGAGAAAGTCATCTACAATCAGTGCATCCACTTCCTTTCATCTCACTCTTCCTAACTCTACAGTCTGACTTCCAACCTCATCATTCAATTGAAACCACTCTCTCCAAAGTTTCCAATGATCCCTTAAATGTCAAATCTAATGGCATTTTCCTCTCTGCATCCTTTGACATTGTTGATTACCATTTTCTCCTTGACATGCTCTTTTTTTTAGATTTTCATGACACTGCTGTCTCCTAGTTCTCCTCTTACCACTACTTCTTAGCTGATTCTTCATCCAGGTCAAGCCTGCTAATTGTCCTAACCTCTCTCCTGACCTCCAATCTCACATCTCAAACTGCCTACTGGACATCTCAAACTGGATATCATGCACACATCTTAAACTCAAACACATCCAAAACTGAACTCATTATCTTTTCCCCCAAGCCCTCCCCCCACTTCCAAATTTTCCTGTTACAGTCAAAAGCACCATCATCCTTCCAGTCAGCCAGGCTTGAGACCTAGGTGTCTTCTTGACTCTTTACTCTTTCACACCCCCATCTCCAGTCAGTTGCCAAGTCTTACCCATTTTGCTTTTGTTATCATTTCTTTCTTTCTTTTTTTTTTGAGGCAATGGGGGTTAAGTGACTTGCCCAGGGTCACACAGCTAGCTAGTAAGTGTCTGAGTTTGGATTTGAACTCAGGTCCTCCCAACTCCAGGGCCGGTGCTGTATCCACTGTGCCACCTAGCTGCCCCATTTTCATTTCTTATATACATCTTTCACCCCCTTCTCTCCCCTGACACTGCCGCCACCCTGGTTCAGGCCCCAATTGCCTCATCCCTGGGCTACTGCAATACTCTGCTGAGTGCTCTCCCCTAAAGTCCTCCACTCAGCTGTCAAACTGATTTCCCTAAAACATAGGACAGATCATTTCACTCCCTACTCAGTATTATCTCCAGTGGCTCCCTCTCAGGATCAAATATGAAATTCTGTTTAGCTTTTAAAACCCCTTATAACTTGGACCCTTATTACCTTTCCAGTCTCAACACTCCCCCTATGTACTCTTCAATCCAGTGACATTGGCCTCCTTGCTGTCACACTCATAGGACACTCTTATCTCCTGACTATGAATTTTCACTGGCTATCTCCCATGCTTGGTATTCTCTCTCTCTTTATATCTGTCTCTTGGCTTCCCTGACTTCCTTCAGGTCCCAATAAAATTCTACCTTCTGTGAAAAGTCTTTCCCAATCTCCCTTAATTCTAGTGCCTTCCCACTGAGACTATCTCCAATTTATTCTGTTTACAAATTATTTATTCATAGTCGTTTATCTGTTGCTTCTTCCATTAGATGTTTTTTTGGCCTTTCTTTGTATCCCTAGTGCTTTAGTACAGTGCCTGGCACATAAGTGATTCTTAACAAATATCTGTAGACATCAGTTTTTTTGCTTTGTTTTGTATCCCAAATCTGTTATTCTTTTGCTGGACTGGAGAAACTTGCCATCATTTATTAATTTTTTTCTAAGAGGCTAATTATTTCTGCTTTGAAAACTATGAATTCTGACTTTTTCCCCTTCCTAAATTTGTTTTTCTTATGGATTTCACTTCTTTTTCGAATCCTTCTGGAACTTCTTATTGTTTTATTGCCTTTTGGGATTTCACAGGGTTCTATGCTTCTTTTGGCATTGGTTCGTTTTCCTTTGTCTTGTACTCTCTTTTAGGGTTTCGTACTCATCCTTCCTTCTAGTTTTAGGATCCTTTCTGGTTATTCATCTGCATGCCATCTAAACTTTAAATGTTTTTAATATATTGTTTTTATATGAACTATATTTTCTACTATATCCCTTCCCCACCCAATCCCAGACAGCCATCCCTTATTAAAAAAAAAAAAGTATAAAGAAAAAAATAATTCCACAAAACTAAAAAACATATCAAAAAAGTCTGTAATTATATGTAGTTTTACACATCCATGGTCCTCCATTTCTACAAAGCTGTGGGAGGAGTGGTCTTATCTCTTCTTTGAGGCCAAACTTGGTCATTTCACTCTTAGAAGGTAGTCCCGGTCACATTCTTGAGGAATTTTACATTTACATAATATGGGAAAACCACTTTGGTATGAGTCTACTTCAGTTATTTTGCTGTTCAAGTTTCTTCAGCTGTTTTTCAAGCTTTGATAAATTTACTTTATGCATCATCAAGAACTGACCATTCAAATGAAAGACGGGTATGTCAAACTTGTATCTATCATACCAAGCTGAATTCTCTGGAAGAGTGATGTCCACCTCTTGCAAAATAAACTGGAAGAAATAAAAATGGAAAATTACAAAGAATGACCTTTATGGCTTACTGCATGATAGCCAGCTACTACCAACTGGCATACATCTGATGCTGAGTGGTTTCTTTGGTTAACAGGGTTAACAGGGCTCATAGTTTCCTGTCAGAACAAAATATGCCCTGAATAGATCATCTCCTGAAAACCAGTTCAGAAGTGTTTCTGAATATAAATTCAAGAAATGTGAAGATCTGAAACATAAAGATATCAAGGCGAATAAGGATAAAGATTTTTAAAAATCACTAACGTTGCCCCCCTACCAGTTCATTTTAGCTTACTTTTAATAGCGAGAGTCATAGGACAAGAAAATTAGTACTCTTAAATTTAATGAATTTTAAGAAAATCAGCATCAAAATATGTAAAAAAATAACAAAGGAAATTAGGGGGGAATTATTTAATGTCCTTTTTCAAAGAAAGAAATTCATATAAGGTATACATTAAAAGCATATTGTATTTTATGTATACATATATTACCCTGTTTTTTAATGGCTTGAGGACTTCTTTTGCTTCATCACAAAGAGGACATGGATCCTGAAACAGAAGAGAAAAATAAAGCTATTATACAAAAAATCCAGTCCTCTTCTCACTGTGCCATGGTGCCTTCTATCATCATTCCTTCTACTCTACGTTCAGCTATCAGACTTACACATGTCCCCCCTTTCATTTCTGTGATTGTCTGCCTAATGAAATTTTCAAGAGATCAGTTTTTTCTATTTTTCAATCTTTTGATTTTTTTTCTCAATATTTTTTGATCTCTCATGGAATCATCAATATGTTTGGTTCACTCTAATTTTTCAAGAACTCTGTTACTAGCATATAAGGATCTACAGTATCTTTTCTAGTAAGCTGTTAATTCTGCCAAGTCTTTGCTTTAGTGCTCTCATTTTTTCCCCCAATTCTTTTCTCTACAGCTCTCATTTCTTTACAATATGATTTCTGAAAGATTACTTCATTTCTTCCAGGAATTTTAGTTTATTCTGGAACAAGGTCAGAGAGATACAGATACAGGTTTGCTCCTTTCTGCTCTCTTCATAATATATATCCTCATGCCCTGTCTGCACTGCATCTGCCACTGATCTTTGCCCTGGTACACTGCCCCAGCCTCTAGCCTTGTCCTGTCCTGCAGGCTCTACACAGCTCTGCCTGGCTCAACCTCCTCCCTGAAAATGATGCACTTTGGTTTCTCCTTGGATTTGCTGATTCCTACTCATTCTACTGAACTTCCTTAATCTATGCTGGAATAATTGTGAGAGAAAACTGGGCTGTATTGCTTTCTCACCTTTGCTCGTCTCTCCCTTCTCCTTCCTTAAAAAAACAAAGTAAAAACAGATAAAGCTTACCTAAACTGTAGCATAAAATACATAATAATTTCTAAGAAGAACCTAAACCCTTCAAAGACCTCATGAAAATAACTGGCATGATTTCTAAGAATGAATGTCATTCATATTCAATTTGTTTTAAAGATTGATTAATTTATAGCAGTCTAGTGAAAAGCCTTATATGGCATTTTGTCGAAAGCAGAGGTTATTTTCTACACACAGCATTACTTATTTTTAGACATTACATATATTCCAGATTATTTTATTTCATTTTTAAAAATTAAAAGCATTTATTTTTTCTATTCTATCACCTGACTTCACCTAACCCTACTGTAAGAGAAAAAAGAAAAACAAAACTGATCCAGCAATACCACTACTAAGGCTATAGTACAAAGAGATGAAATAAAGAGGGAAAGGGCCTGTATGTACAAAAAGGTTTATAGCAGCTATTTTTATGGTGACAAAGAACTGGAAACTGAGGAGGTACTTATAAACTGGGGAATGGCTGAACAAATTATGGTATATGAATGTTTTGGGCTGCCATTGTGGCATAATAAATGACGAAAGGCAGAGTTTCAGAGAAATGAGTGAAGACTTGTATGAACTGATACTGTTAGGGGTTGGCCTGACACCTCTAGTTCTCCTTCCCAGGTTAAAGAAAACTCAGTTACAGGAATAGAGGTGGGGAAAAGGTACTGGTGGGGTCAATAATCCCATAACAGGCAACTGGTGACACAGTGCCTGGAGTCAGGAAGACCTGAGTTCAAATCCATTCTCAGATACTTAGTATCTATGTAACCTTGGGCAAGTGACTTAACCTGTTTGCGCAGTTTCCTCAATTGTAAAATGGGATAATAATAGTACCTACCTTGCAGGCTTGTGGTGAGGATCAAATGAGATATTTGTAAAAGCATTTAGCACACAGAAGGTACCATATAAATGCTTATTCCCTTATTCCCTTCCCCCACTATAACACTGATGCTGGGCGTAAGCTTCCTGTCTATATCACTAATGAGGTCAGGGAAGCTATAGAGATAGGCACGATGACTTTGTTCAGCTCTCTATAACCCACAGTAAGCTGCCAAGTGCCACCTGCCTTCCTCACAGGTAACACAGGGTTGCTCTAAGGGGAAGTGGTATAACAAAATCTCCAGTTTCTTTTATCTCCGTAACTAGAGAAGAAACATCTTTCACCTCCCTGGAGACCCAACATTGTTTGGTGTCAATCACATAGGATAGTTCAGGAGACTAAGGATTTCCATTTGGCTCTACCTATGGTAACCTGCATAGTTGCTGAAATGACCCATATAGATAATGACTCCCAAGAGCCCATGATACCCCTTCCCTCCATGATTTCCCCTTAATGATCCAAATGGGGCAGGAGCTTTATTAGATGCCTCAGTCTTAGATAGTGATGAAGTACCCTACAACACTAATGATGAATTTCCCTATACAGTTTTATTAACACTCTCATATGCTGGCCATCAATTGCTTTCTTATCAATCCCATGTTTCAGGAATCACAACTCAAAGCTCGCTCTTGGAGAGGCTATCATAGCTGCTATCATCTTTCTCTGTCACCTAATAGGGGAGTGCTTATTTGTAATGACAACAGTATTTGTTCAGGCCACAAGAGTCCCAACCTATGGAAATTTCACTAGCTCTTCAGTCTAGACCTATCTCGTTGTGTGGAAGAGGAGACCCAGAATTAAAGTCTGAAGTTGTTCTGGTAGGACTCTGCCTAAAAGGTAGGATCTAATTGTCCCTGGAACAGTCTGATAATAGGTTATGGCAGGTTGTGTGTATGTTGGGGTAGGGACAGATCAATTCTATCAAACCCATTTCCTTTAGAAACTTTACCACATCCCTTGCAGATCCCCATTGGGTAGCTGGCTGAAACAGGAACAAAGGAACAAAAGGTCTTCTCAATCTGGAGAATTTAGCTGACTTAGCTGACTTTTTAAGTTCCCAGAGAGCTCCCCAAGCTTACGGAAACTCAGCTGTGGAGAGAAACCCACCATTAAACCCAACAGTATATACCCTCAGAAGCCACTGTTCTGGGTGAACTTATGATGTAACCTGACCAGTTCCTTGGTGGTAAAAGGCTGCCCTGACCCCTGCTCCCTCAGTGAAGAAAATCCTGAGAGCAATAATAAGATAGTACAGGCTTTTTTTTAAGAGCCACCAGTATGAGTTCCTAAGTATCTTCCTGGCTCTGATCTCAGTGGGATGCAGTAGAACCTCTGGGTCAGAAATCATACAGGTTTCCCATTCTCATTAGAATAGATTCCTTTACTTGCACTGGAACCAGCTCCATCAGCTGCCTCTCAGGCTTCACTGCACAGTGCTTAAAACCTGAAAGCTCTGTCTCCAATTGCTGAATGCACTTTTTTTCTTTTTAAGGGTTATCAAATTTATTTTATGTTTTGTTTTAATTTTTGGATATTTCAGCTGAAAATTAGGTTGTAACTGAGTGTAGAAGAGACATATACATTGGGACCAACTGAAAGTTAAAATGTCAGTTTCTTTTGGGTCTCATTACAACCATAATCTCTCTCTTGTGACTTTGATTTCACAAAAAAAACCCCAAACAAACAAACAAACAAAACACACCATAAGCTTTTGAAAAATGACAACAGTCACTTTTGTTGTTGTTTTTTTTTAAATTAAATAACGTAACACTAAATGGATTTTTCCCAATTATGGTAAATCTTTTCTATTTAAAACCAAGAACCAGAATTACATGTAATGGTGATAAAACAGAGGTCTTTTCAATTAATTTAGTGATAAAACAAGGATGTCTATTATCACCACAATTATTTGACAGGGCTAGAAATACTAGCTATGACAATATAACAAGAAAAAGTAACTGAAGAATTAACATAGGCTCATAACTAAGAACTAGTATAAGCATAGTAAAAATTTTGTGTTTTGCCAGATGATAAGACAGTCTACCTCGACAATCCTACAAAGCCCAATAAAAAAGGAATTTGAAATAACAACTTTAGCAAAATGAAGCATACTAAATCAACTCACATGAATCAATAGTCTTTTACCTACAAATCCCAGCTGGAAGAAATAAAAAGAGAAATTCCACTCAAAATCACACTTGCCAAATTCCTTAAAAGGAACTATACGAATACAACCACAAAACACTTTTTGCAGAAATAAAGATAGATCTAGATAATCTGAGAAATATTAATTCCTCATGCTTGGGCTGTCAATAAAATAATACTACCTAATCATAAATATAGTTTATATAATATAATATATGTATATAATGTATATTAAGAACAATTGGTAAAAATAGCCCTACAAACTCCATTTGTTGTTCAGTTACGCCCAACTCTTTGTGACCCCATTTGAGGTTTTCTTGGCAAAGATACTGGAGTGGTTTGCCCCTCCTTCTCCAGCTCATTAATATATAACATAACATACTAATAATTAATAATATACTATAACTTATATAATAAATTAAATAAATGATAAATAAACATGATAATACTACCTAAATTAATTTATTAATTCATTCCTATGACAAGCAATCAAACTGTCACTTTGACAGGCACAGGACTGAAAAAATCAAAATATTACTTTGATAGGATCTAGAAAAAATAATCACAAAATTCATGTGAAGGGAAAAAAAAGTCAAGATTCTCAAAAGAAATAATTGGAATACAAAGTGAGAAGATGACAAGAGCCTAGAAGTACCATATATCAAATTATACTATAAAACAGTGATCATCAAAACTATTTGATACTGCGTAAAGCAGAAAAGTTGGTCAGTGGAACAGATTAGGCAAATGATATACAAAAGCAAAGGTATTTACCTAGTAGCCTAGCGTTCAATATACTCAAAGACTACAACTAATGAACTCATTATTTGACAAAAACTGCTGAGAAAACTAGAAAGCAATCTGCCACAAATTAGATTTGGATAAAAATCTCATGAATTTACTTTTTCAGAATTGAGGGACATGAGATATATGAGCAAGAAAATATTGCTCCTAATATACTGACTGGCAAATTAAGATACAAAAACTTCAGAATGGGGAAAATTTACTCTACTCTGCTCCTTCTTTATGCTCTAATTTTTCATTCTAGAATGTGTCCATATTTTCTCTATTAGTATCTCTACCAAAATGCTAATTGATTAGTTGTTTACCTTTGTGAACAGGGTCAGTACTGGAAGGGTTTTCTTGGAGGCATAACTTTTTCTGAACAATAATCCAAAGGAATGTTGGACTCTCTGTACTCTGTTGCACCATAACCAAATCATCTTGACTCTGTTAAAATAAAAACAAAACAGTAAAGCTATGTTTTCCATGTATTGCTCTTTATAATTATGAACTGTGAGGTACCACAAACTTATCAGGATCACAAGAAGTAAATAAACTTGCTTCTCAGATGCTGGTGGTGTCACAATGGCCCATTGAAAAATCTATAAGATGCTTTACATGTTTATGGTGTCCCAAAAAAAAGTGGAATGGGAAAAAGATGATTCACTTATAATGATGAAATGAACAGAAACAGGAAAACAATTTATACTATAATAGCAACATTCATGATCAGTTTTGAAATTCTTAAGTCTTACTTGTTTTACATAATGGTACTTTAACGACAATCTGTTTTGAGTAGGTTTTTTGCGCTTGATTCTCCTTAATTAGCTCCCCAAGCACAATAATTTAACCCTCTCCACAGTGAAAGGCAAAAAAAAAAAAAAATCTCTCCTAAGCCTTTATTGTTTGGGTGCTAAAAGCAATATTATTCACTAGAGTTCCCTGCCATGGGAGCTAGCCTAGCTTTTCCTAAGAACCTGTCCCACGAAGATTAGTCTATACACAAATGATAACCTAACATAAATGTATTAGGAAGTTTCTACTAGAAATATGCAGCAAGAACCATAGTATTAACCATAGCATTTTTAAAGCACTAGGTTTTTGAAGATCCTTTAATCCTGACATTTTCCATGTCATTCTGTTTATTCTAAGTATCAAGCATCCAGGCTCTGTCCCTATAAAAATAAAGAAATCATTTCTTAAAATGAATATATGATGTTAACTTAAGATAGTACTCACTTATGATTCACTTCCAAAATGAATGATTTCTCCAGGGATGCATATTTCTTGGGGGGCACCCTCCTCCCCAGCAGTGAGAGGCGGGGGAGAAGGGGAATTTGATTCAATCAATCATTTACTCTCTCTCACTCAAAGTAACTAACAAGATTCCCTGGCTCTGATATCTTTGTCAGGTGAGAACACTAATATTGAGTCAATTAATCAAAGGTATTACATTAGGCAAAAACCTCATTAATCAATCTGGAAGGAGGGAAACCTGTAAAATGAAATTAAACGACATTACATAGGAAGTGCATTGGACTTGGTTGAGAAAAGAAACCCAGCATTCCACCCACTGACACCCAGTGTCAAGCCAGCCCTTTGATGGAAGCAGCTTCATCCAAGCCCCTAAGAAGGAATTCCTTGAGGCTAGGGATGGGGGTGGGCATCCTTTCCCTCCCTTGACCAGAGGATAATCTTACAAATTTGAAAAGTTGGAAGCTTCTGAACTTCCTACGGATGTATTAGCAATGTCCTCATAACACCACTGCCTAACAGCATTGTCTGTATTAGGAACAGAAGACAAACTGGACACAATAAGGAAGGTCAATTTCAGAATTTTACAGGGATCCTGGCACAAAGCTGTATTATGCCTAAGAAAATCTTTGTGAGGACCCCACAAAGAGGGAAAAAAGACTACATCGAGGAGTTGTGTTATTCTTTTGTCATATGTGCTTTCTAAGCTTGAACCCAATTTCCCTTGGATTCAGTATGGATTTGTGGAAGAGTATGGAGTTTGGATAGCTAGTTGGTACAGCAGATAGAGTGCAGGTCCTGGAGTCAGGAAGACCTGAATTCAAATCTGGCTTCAGACACTTCCAAGTCACTTAACCGTGCTTGCTTCAGTTTCCTTATCTGTAAAATGAGCTGGAGAAGGAAATGGCAAACCACTCCAGTATCTTTGCCAAGAAAACCCCAAATGGGGTAACAAAGAGTTGGTCGTAACTGAACAACAACAACAAATGGAGTTTGTAGGGATTTTTTTTTACCAATTGTTCTTAATATACATCTTAGTAAATACCTTTAACTAAAAGCTGATTAACCTTGACTGGCTAATTGACATCAATGAAAAATAATGGGTTAAGAATGCTGATGAAGACTTGTGAATAATAACATTAGACAGATGTCCCCAGCATCTCAGGATTACCCCAAGACCACTAAGGGGAAAATAGTCAATTGATCTCTGGGAATCCAACCTGCTAGTATGAACAGGAGAATAGTCTCAGAGCCTAGACTACACTTAACTTAGTTTTACTTTATAAAATATTGCCAGAGAAACAGTATTCATCATTTAGCCAAAGGTTTATTTCCAAAGGCGTTGTACGTATTTTGAACTTCCATTCTACACTAAAAATGATGCATTTCTACTTCCTATGTTAAGTTCCTATATTGACAATGCAAAAGATGTCACAAATTCAACCAATGGTCCTGAACTTAGATTACTCAGAGAGCGTCAGAGTAAGTAGCAAACACTACTTACTCACTTCAGTCTCATCTCTTACTTCAATGGGGCACCTCAAGTAGCCAGATCACACTATAGTTGATATCTGAGTCCATTCTTACGTCTCTGTAGGGCGGAGATGTTACCTCAGTGTTCAGTGGGGAAGCCCACATGATGGATTTGTAGGCTGCAGCCACAGCACCTCCCTCCCAAATGCATCCCTTCTCTTGCAATCTTGCTGTGAGTTAGAATATCAGAGGTGAGTACTAGTTAATTAGATACGAACTATATGAAAAAGAAAAAAGAAGGAAAAAATAGAAAGAGGTTCATTAGATCATAGATTTAGAGTTAGAAGGGACAACAGAGGCCACTGAGTCTAATCCTCTCATAAAATGCTAAAAAGCTAAGGAAATTGAAGTCTGGGGAGGCTATATGATTAGCCCAAAGTTATATAGATAGTAAATCTCAAAAACAGAATTTGAATCCAGCAAAATCTCATGCTATGTATATGTATATATACATATATATATGTATATATACACACATTTACCTTTTTTGGGAATAAATCACATTACTTTAAATTACTCAACAGCTTATGGAATAATATATCTTACAGTATCTGAACTATACCCAGGGGTGTGCTGGAGCCAGCTCTAACCAACTTTGAGAGATCGTTAAATTTTCAATGTGAGCACTCACACTTCGGAAATCAACAATCGCTACAAATCATGAAATGATTTATTCCTTTATTGATTTCTAGACTTTAAAAAGTGTTAATACCCGCCTCAGACACATAACACTTACTAGCTGTGTGACTTTGGGCAAGTCACTTAACCTTAATTGTCTCACCAAAAAAAAAAGTGTTAATAATGCAGATTAAACTTAAGAACAGGCGATACAGTTTTTTTGAGGAGCCTAGTTTTAAAACATCGACGAGCCCACCCCAAATTGCTCTACAAACTTTGCATGAGCTCAGCAGAAATGCAATAGAAGGTTCAGTGAACAAAGTCAATCACCAAATCACATTCTGGTGATAATAATAATAATAATAATAATAGTTATTACTATCAATGATAATAACTGGCATTTATATAGTTCTTTAAGGTTTTCAAAGTGCTTTACATGTCTTATTTCATTTGAGCTTCACATCATCTTTGACAGAACCCATTCCTGCTTAAATGGTGATGAAAAACAGTAATGGAAAATGACTGAGTGGATTTTGTAGAACACACTGGAGTTCTCTAGCCAATAAATGGCTTAGAGATAAAAGTCTAGTAAAATGTTCTTTTAGGTCAGATACTGAAAAAGAATAGCGAAGAATTCTGAACTAGCCACTCTTCCGTAGGCAGAATTTTAGCAGATGCTTGCTTAGGTTCATTTTGACTTTATTCAGTCTAGATTGCTAGGATTTGCAGTCATGTAGAAATGTCAGCAGAACTAACCCACGGCACAGCAGCTGTAGGGAAAAGAAATTAATTTTATCATTTGCATAGGAAATGGGATATAGTTCCAGATTGTGGGGGCCTTGAAGGTTAGGCAGAAGAACTTGGACTTTATCAAAAGTCACTGGATGCCACCAAAGGTTTTTGGACAGGATTGTGACATGAATGAATCATTGGTCTTAAGAGTAATCTGGACTTATACAGAATGGATTTCATGGGGACAGGGGAAGGCGACCAATTAGGAAATTGTTTCAATGATCAAAGTGTCCAGGTTAGAGTGGCAGCAGTAAAATAATCTTTAACCTCTACTAATAAACCAAATGGAAGAAGATGTAGCTAACATATCTGAAAATGACCCATCAGATGAATGCCAGGTGCAGTGGAAAAAGCACTGGAATTCGAGTCAAAGAATCTGAGTTTGAATCCAACTCTGTGACCTACTATTTATGTAACCTTGGGCAATTCACTTTAACTCTCTGGGTTTCAGTTTCCTCAAATGTAAAATGAGGGGCTGGATACCAGATTTTGATCTATGATTCACCCTGTTGCCTAAAAGTAAATTAAAGAACATGTTAGTGGACAGTAGGCCAAGAGATAAAAATAATTATATTACAATTACATATGACAAACATAACTTAAAAATTAAATTAAAAATAATTCTGTGGTTTATTCTCATCTATCTTTAATGTAAGATAATTAAAGTTTAAAGTCTCTAACAATGAAAGTAACAGGACTGAATTTTTTAAAAAATCTAAATGTTTCTAAAAACTTGCATAAGAATAAATGAATTAGTGTAGAAGGAGATTAAGGAAAACATCATGTTTAATTTGAATTAGAAATTCATACTTCACTTTTTATATTCTCCATTTAAATGTGGTTGATCCAGCTGTGAGGTATGAGAAGTGATGGTATGAGAAGAAACAGCATTTTGAAGCCATATGTTTATTCAGAGTACTCAGGCTTCATTAAGTAATGAGGCAGGCACCAAATGTCTGGTTTGTAATAAATGAAGGTAGAAAGTAAAACTCATCTTCCTACCTATTGTTTTTCCCTACAATGCTTATATTATTTTTTGTTTCTAAGAGGGGGGAAAGCATTATTAATAACTTACCTAGGACAGATGATCTGTGGATGTCAAAATACAGTGAAACTCAAATCAAAATGGGGGCCACTATACCATACATGAGGATCCTGTGGGCAACATACTGAATTAGAAAACCACATATCAACATTATCTAAGTTTTATTATATTTTTATTTATTTTGTTGACTATTTTCCAGTTAACTACATCTTAATCTGTTTCAGGCAGCACCAGGGAGCCTTGAAGGCTGCAATGAGACTATCACTGACACCTCTAGCCTAGATGACTTCTAAGGACCCTTTCAGCTCTAAGTCTATGATGATTTGATTCATGCTACACAAGGATCAATTAAAAGAACCAGAAATGTTCAGCCTGCAGAAAAGGTTGGGGTGGCTGGGAGATAGGGGAGAGATGGACATGATGACTCTTTAGGGCAAGGCAAAATCCACATTTAAAGTGAAAGTGAAATGGGTTTATTGGTCTTAACTCAATTGCTCCATCCTTACTACAGATCTTCTGGAAAACTATTTAGGTTGGATTTTGGAAGATGGTCTAGATAGAAGAACGGCAGAAGAGGTATAAGAATGCAGGGCACTCAGCCTCACCTCTCCTTTCTATGTTTTGTTTTGCTTTTCCTTTGGCAGGGTTATTTTTTGTTTCTTTGACAGGGTTATACCAATTTAAAAACTTAATTTTAGTAAGTGGATTTTGGAATCCTGCCAACCTTCTTGTATCCTGATTGATAATAGGCACTTATTTGGCAGGCTGGCACATATGAAATGGAAAGGAAGAGCAGTGTGTCCCCTGGATCGTCACTCACATGTGTTCGGAATCTTTAAGTCTCAACTGGGGCACTTTCCAGAGCATTGCTTCTGAGGTGACTACTCAGCGACGCAGTTGGTGCCCACGGCAGTTACAGGCAAGTTTCATTAACAGCAGACGTCTGAGAAGAAGAATAACACATTTCCTATATACTCCCCCTGCAACCCAAAAGACTAAAAGACTAATTTTTGTTCTAATGCTTGTTAATATTAATGGCAATGGCACAAGGTGAGTAAAATGAAATGGGGTAGTCAGGTGGCAGAGTAGAGAGAGTGCTGGGCTTGGCAGTAGGGAAGAATTAAATGATTACCTGAGACACTTACTGGTTGTGTAATCCTGAACAAGCCATTTAACCTCTTCATCTGTAAAATGGGGATAATAGCACCTACTTCATAGGTTTATTATGAGGATCAAATAAGCTGCTTGTAAAAGCACCTTGCAAAACTTTAAATGTTATATAAATGCTAGTTGTTGTTACTACAATTACCTCCCCTCCTCCGGTACACTATCCCCCAAAATCCATTAGAATATTGATTTTGCAGCTCGATCAAAGCCAGAGCAGGCTATTCCCATTTCAGATCACACAACAATGCTCAGTACAATTATGGTGTAATGGCCGCAAAACTGTTCTTGAATGCAACAAGAACTGTAACTATATGGGTGGATTCTGTCACATGGTGGAACAGAGTTTAAAAAGCACTTAAATTCCTTCAACCCACAAAAAACAAATTTTTGAATGAAAACTGGATCTGGCTCTGGGGAAAGAAACCAAGCAGACAGAGAATGATAGTGATTTCACATTATCCTCCATATCCTGAACAATTCATTCCATTTGAAGAAGCTTAGGCTACTAATGCTACCATGGAAAACAGGCAATTCCATTAAAATATCTTAACTGTACAGTACAAATTTATTTAGTAAATTACCTGTATGCTCCTACATCTTCAAAGCAGCTTTTTGCAATTGCTAAACCACTCATATGAGCTGTATTTTACCATGTTCGTGCTCATTCCAACTCATACCGGTAAAAAAAAAAAATTAGAAATTGTACAGGCATCTCACTAGATAGGGATGGAGAGATCTGAATAATGTAGCCTTGACTTTAAGTCATACTCTCTTCTTTGACTTTACTGTCACTAACTGTTAGTATATGAATATAAGCAAATGGACTTGGGGCTTTGTATTCTAAACCCAGATGTGCCAAAGACTTGTAATGCAAAAACATCCTAGCCACTAGGGAATCATAGACTCAGGGCTGGAAGAGACAGCCATTGTGCATCTGGGCCATTCTGCTGCTAGTCAAAAGGCCCACACTTTAAACTCTGCCAGTCATCTAAGAACCTGTGCAGGGATGTGCCTGAGGCAGCTCACCAAGGCCAACTGTTAAATTTTCAGTGTGAGTATTTACACCTCCAAAAGTGGCAAAATGCTACAAATTCGGCTTGATTTAGTGAATATTCATAAGTCTTAAAGTGATGAAGAAAAAGCTAAAAATGCAGATTAAATTTAAAAGTGGATCTTGAGTAAATTGTTTCCCCCCAGAGAGCCAGTTATTAAACATTTATCACCATTGAATCTATCTTTTCAAAATATCTAGAGGAAATTCTACAGTCTACCTTTGTACTCTACTCAACGTGCAACAACCCTCATTGACATATTAGAGTTTCAAGGCATCTTAGAAATCACTAAATCTGATTTCTGGGCCACATGACTAACAAGACAGGATATTAGCCATTTTCTATGATTCACACAACTCCTCAAGCCTCTCCAAAACAGAAAGTACGCACCAAAGATAAAGCAACTTCATCTATCCCCATGGACAACAGGAACCCAAAAGAATGGAACAACTCCATGAATTAACATCTGATTTTCATTCACTCAGCACCCCTTCCCCAACTGCAGACCATGGCCCTGGCAGCAAAGTTGCACTAGTTACCCTGACAAACAACAGCCCTCACACTCTGACATCCATTATCTGTCAAAACAGTTTATTGAGGAAATACTCTTAGCACTGCAGAAATATTCTGTGTTGCAAAAAAAACTCCGCAGGACAGCAGAAATTATATCCTAACAAACATACATTAATAAAATAGAAAAAGAGAATTAATGAACTGAATATACATTTTTAAAAATTAGCAAGGCAAAAAAACATAGAAAGCCGACAAAGAAACAAACCTAATAAACTCAAAAGAGGAGACATTAAAAATTAGAGGAGGAAGATGTATGGAAAACAAAAAACCCACAGAAATATAAAACTAAAAGCTTTAAAAAAAAACTATAGAATTGACAAACCTTTAGCTAATCTGGTTAAAGAAGGCAGAAAATTAAATCAATAAAATAGCAAATGAGCAGGGTGAAATCACAACAAAAACAGAACAAAAATAAGCAAACCTATTATGCACATTTATATGATCACAAAATGGAGAATATAAAAGAAACAGAATACCGTCAAAAACAATACTTAGCGTCAAAAACAAAACTAACCCCATTTCAGAAGAGGAAATAGAATTAACTAGAAAGGAACTATCAAAGAAAAAAACTCTTGATCCTGATGGATTAACACGAAAAGTGCATTAATCTCAAATATTTCCCTAATATATCAATCAGGTTGGAACAAATTCACATTTTCAAAACAATCATTACAACAAAACTGATTATATGTTCAACAAACTGCTGTATCCCTGAACAACCATAAGGACTCTACTTCATAACAAACAGGATTCTAGTTAAAGAACATTCTATAACCTCTTCAGTAGAGCTCAATCACACACTGTCTTGTATTGGAGTTCTGTGTTCATATTTTATGTTAGCTATTAGTTCCCCAAGGGTACTTAAGTCGTTTATCTCTTTCAAATGGTAAAAGAAACAGAGAAATAAAGCTGGGGGCAGTGCTAGTAGTATTTTTCCTCAAAAGGCTCTCATTTTATCTCATTCCTGTGGCAGCATCCATTTGTTTTGTATTGGCCTATGGAGATAATGTTATCTTCATTTATACAGCAATACGCATATATTGAATCCTAGTTCCAGATATGGGAAATCTTACTCAGATCTTCCAGAATTTTCTAGCCTACTTACTAGAATAAATGGTGGTGGCACCATTAATTCATTCAACAAGCATTTATATACCAAACTTTCAAGGCTAGTGTCTATCAATCTTCAGGACATTCCCCTTTACTCAATGAATTCAATGCCAGGTTCACAGTCTTTTATCTCCTCCTCAACTCCTGTTCTTCAATATACTTAAACATACACATTGAAGGGGGAACTTCAATATACACATTGATACACCCTCAAGTACCCTAACCTCATACTCAAATGTAATGACACTCCGTCATATACCCTCACTGCTGTCTCACCCCTCCTCCCCCCATATCAAATCTGTTGCCAAGGTCTATTGATTTTATCTTCAGACCATCTCTCATAAACTAAACCTTCTCTCCTCTGACAGTGCCACCATCTTGGTGCAGGCCCTTAACAAACTCATATCTGCACTTTATAAGACTGGAATAGCTCAGTGTTGGTCCCCCTGCCGCAAGTCTCTCTTCTCAGCTGTCAGAGTGGTCTTCCTAAATACAGGCCTGACCACATCACCCTCCCTACTCAAAAATTCTAGTGACTTCTCATCAGCTCTAGGATAAAATATAAAATACTCTGTTTGGCATTGAAAGCCCTTTATAACTGGCCTCACCCCTCATGTTTCTAGTTTTCTTATACCTTACATCACCCCCCTCCCCCAACCCCTCTCTCTACTCTCTGATCCTGTGACACCAGCCTCTGTCTGTTTCATGAACAAGATGCTCCATCTCCTGACTCCAGGCATTTTCCTGCCATTCCTGGAATGCTCTCCCTCCTCATGCCTGCCTCCTGCCTTATCTAGATCCCTTCAAGTCCTTGCTGAAATTCTACTTTCTAGAGGAAGCCTTTATGGATTCCCCTTTAATTGTAGTGCCCTCCCTTTGTTGATTATTTCAAATTTATCCTATATATAACTAGTTTGTATACAGTTGTTTGCATGTTGCCTCTCCTGTTAGATTGGGAAGGCCTTGACAGTAGGGGCTGTCTTTTACCTTTCTTTGTATCTCCAGAGCTGGCCCAGTGCCTGGCACATAATAGGTACTTGATAAATGTTTGACTGACTGACTTTTACATCAATGAAAACTCTATCCTTAGTAAATTATTTTTTAAAAATTATTATTATTATTTTTTTTGGCTAGGCAATGGGGTTAAGTTTACAATTTACATTTAGGAAGCTGAGGTTCAGAATATGAATATCAAGACAATTGTGGAGCCAACAGCTAAAGGGGATTGATTTTCAATTAAGTGCTTTATCTCTCAGGTCACATTTATACTTTTTCAGATCAAGTTTTCCACATTATTAAACAAGGATGATAATTCTAAACTAGTTCCACTTGTTTGTAGAGAGGGGAAAATATAACATCTCATGAAAATAAAGTAGTAAAAAAAAGATTTTAAAATATGGGTCTCAGATACAAAAAGCTCTATTTATAACCTGGGCTGGTTCATCCCTTTCTTAGGTGGTCTCATACCTCCCCTGCTGCAGTGCCTTGCCATACTGGTGTCTGAGCAGAGAAATCAGAGAGGCTTTAGCCCTGTTGGAGCTCAGAATCCACAAGCTTTAATGGAGATCATGCACCCCACAAAACTCAGCCTATATGGTAGCAGGGATTGCGGGAATGCACCACCACAGAAAGTACATTTCTTATTATTTTTACTGTTATTAGTTAGTCTGGCATAATAGAAAAAATACTGGCATTGGAATTATCAGAACTAGGCTAAAATCCCAGCTCAATTATTTGCTACCTTTTCTTATGAGCCTCTGCTCCTTTAACCTATGAAAGATTTTGTCCTGCTAAACCCTAGTCTTGTATCACTTCTACTATTCACAGCCTTTGCTACTGCTGAGCAAAACTGGAGAAAAATCATAAAACTTTGCTGACTGGGTCTACTACAGGTTTATGTTAGATAACTTCCACTGGGCCCTCACTGTGTAAAGGCAATCCTTTTATACTTCTCTAACTGATTCACTATTCCATTCATACAATAGCTTTTTTTTTCTTTTTTTGTGAGGCAATTGGGGTTAAGTGACTTGCCCAGAGTTACACAGCTAGCCAAGTGTTATGTGTCTGAGGTCGGATTTGAACACAGGTCCTCCTGACTCCAGGGCCGGTGCTCTATCCACTGTGCAACCTAGCTGCCCCCATACAATAGCTTTTACAAACCTTTCCATACCTCATCAAACCTCTCCCTCCTCCCACCCTTTCAACCTTGCCTCATATTTCACTGAAAAATCTAAACTATTCACAGAGGGCTCCTTCTTCTCCCCCAAATCTCATCTCGTATCACTCAGATGCCTTCTGCCACTATCTCCTCCTTCACTTTTTCACATGAAGAGAAGTCCTTGACAACACAAATCCAGGTGATTCCACTTCTCCAGCTGATGCTCCCTCTACCATATCTCTCATTTATCAACAATCTTCCCCTTGTCTAAGAGAAATTGGTTGCTTCCTTACTGCCTACAAACATGACTGTGTCTCCCCAGTTTTCAAAGAGCTCTCCCTGGATCTGTGTCCATCCCCACTAGCTATCATCCTATATCCTTCTTGTCTTTGTAGATAAACTGCTTGAGAAGGCCATCTACAGTAAGGGCCTCTACATCCTTCTGTCTCACTCTTTAAACTGATGCAGAGTGAAGAGAGCAGACCTGAGAAAATTTATAAAATAACATAAACATAATATAAAAACATAAAGGAAAAAACTTTGAAAGACTCGAGAACTGAAAAAATGAAATGGCAAACCATGATTCCAGAGGACCAAAGATGCTATCTACCTTCTGACAAAATGTGATGGACTTAAAATGTAGGAGATATGTTTTTGGACATGGTCAATGGGGGAATTTGTTTTGCTTGACTATACTTATTTTTATAAAGGTTTCCTCTTATTTTAATAGATCAATGGGGGGGTAATGATAAATGTTTGTATGTATGGGTTGACATTTATCATTTTTTAAATAAGGCTGAATATTTGTGGAACTGGTGAGGCTCTAGGTTTTTCTTCATGCTGTTTGGCATGGGGTGGGAAATTTGAGGGTATGAAATAGGCAGCTCAGTCAAGACGAATACATTGCAAGGAGCATCCAGCTAGCTGCCTTGCTATGCTTACGTTGCTAAGCCTGTCCAGTGTATCCTTTGCTTCCTCAAAGCAAGCATTTGAAATAATTTTGCTACCAGTTCCTTAAATTTATAAGTGAATTTGTTTGGTGTAGTCAACAAACTGACAGAAAGGTGTTTTTTTGTTCGTTTGTTTTCCAGCAATCTGCCAAGTTTGATCATGTATTACCATTTTGTAGAAATTTAATTAAACCTAGAAAGGTACATTACTGAATCAATGATGGAAGTAGGAAGCTAGAGGATGAATAAGAGAACTATGATTTCTATTATGATTTATAAGGAGGTTTTTCCACTTTGTTCACTTTTTATACCATTTCTGTATCTAAATATCTCTATATACATATACAGGCAGCTAGATGGTGCAGTGGATAGAGTGCTGGGTCTGAAGTCCGGACGGTTCATCTTCTTGAGTTCAACTTTGGCCTTAGACACTGGGGCAAGTCACTTAACCCTGTTTACTTCAGTTCCTCCTCTGGAAAAAGAGCTGGAGAAGGAAATGGTAAACCACTTCAGTTTCTTTGCCAAGAAAATCCCAAGAAAGATATAGGATGATAGCCAGTGGGGATGGACAGATCAAGTTTGATTTTTTTTTGAGGACTGGGAGACCATGGGCATGTTTGTAGGCAGTAGAGAATTTCTCCTAGACAGGGAAAGATTGATGATGAAAGACAGAGATAGTAGAAAAGGGCATCAGCTGGAGAAGACGGAATGGAAAGGAATCACTTGTGCATTTAGCCTATCCTAATTCCCTGAGTATCTGGTGGAAACCTTTTTTAGTACAAGGGTAACATATACGTGTGTGTGTGTGTGTGTGTGTGTGCTTATACGCATACGTTAAGTACATACATAAATAATGTCTCCGTTCCAAAATGATTAATTAAGTTATGGCTCTCACTTTAATTAAGTTCCCCCACAGTGATAATTCATAATGGAAATTAGCAGAGAGGGCAGTGGGAAGACTGGAGAATGGGCTTTGCTTTCCAGCCCCATCCCTTCTCACCTCCGTCTCCTCCTCTTAGCCCGAGGATCCACAGCCTTAAGGCGGCGCAGAAGAGACCCCGGTTCTGCAGCGAGGGAAGCGGGATTCCCGGGGGGCGTCTCGGCTGGGGTGGCAGGGAAAAAGCGGGGGGAGGGGAGGAGTACGTACTGCGTGGTTTCGGAAGCTGCAGTCTGGCCTCCCTTCTGGTCATCGACGGAGGAAGGACCAGGGAAGGTTAAAAAAGAGGACGAGAACTCAAAGATCGGGGGAAATGAGCACGAGCCAGTCCTGGAGCACTCACACGATTGGAGCTGTGCAAGGGAGCCAAGGCCAGGCGGGGCTGCGGCCATCTTTGCACCCGCACCTCCCAAGCTAAAGCACTCACCTTTGCCTTCTGGTTTCAAAGTCGCCCCTTGGTTTTGCTTCCTTGTTCCCAGGGCAGCTTGCGGACTCTCTGGTTGCTGCCCCTAGTGGTCACACATAGGAAATGAAGTATTGTTGGACCCAAGTCTCCTGGAGGGGACAAAAAACAAAAAACGTCAGCCTTTGAGGTTTGAGAGATATAAAGGCCTTGAGACATTATCTTTTCTGTTCATTTTACAGATGAGGAAACTGAGGCCCAGAGAGATGAAGTGGCTTGGCCAGGGCCATGCAAATAAATAAATGGCAGAGCTGGCATTTGAATCTAGGTTCTCTAGTGTTATTTCCACTACAGGCTGCCTTCCCTTCGTTGTTCTCCCTGGGATTTCAGTTCTCCCCATTATTTACCTGTCATTGCTTGAACTGGCAAAGCCTCTCACATCTCCTTGCAATTATTTCTCTTCTCCTTATTGCCCATGGTTTAGATTTCAGATTTTTCACTTAAGATGGAAAAACCTAAGACCAAACCAAAATTATAACACTGAATAATAAATGGTGATAACCTTTCTGTTTTGAGTATTTATTAGTTTTTGCCCTGTTTGAGATTATGCTGGCTTGGAATAAGGGCAGACACTAAGCAAACAAGGTATAGGAGAGAGAGCACAGGTCTTTGAGGCAGAAGACCTGGATTGAGTACCACTTGATACAGTTATTTTGAGGATCAAATGAGATAATTATATAAAGCTCTTTATAATGTATCAAGCTGTTTGCTAACCTTAAAGTGCTAAATGCTAACTACTGTTATTGTTGCTTTATATTATTACTGTCTGGAATACCCTGATCTATAATACAGAATACAGAACATGCATCCAGTAGTCATTTTATTTTTTTTTTTAATTTTTTTTCCAGTAGTCATTTTAAAGCCACAGGCATGCACAGGCACACAACACATGAGGCAGCCCAGTCTAGTGGATGGAGAGCAGCCTGGGAGCCAAGAAGACCCATCTGTGCTGAAGTTCCACCTCGTAAGTAAGGTGAATTTTAGTGTGTGTAAGGAGGATTTTGTTATTCCTTTTTAGATAATAGTTCCAGGATCACATCAGATTGCACGCCATCTTGGGGAGGGAGGTGAAGAGGGAGGGGGAGAAAAATTTAAAACTCAAAAGTTTATGGAAATGATTGTTGATAATTCAAAATAAATTAATTTAAAAAAATAATTCCAGGATCCTAGGTAATATTTCCCACGAATTATGGTTGAAAACTTCTACCACACAGGGGTGACATAACGAATGCGTGCACTGTGCTAGGTCATGGCAATATTGCTAAAGTTAACCTGTGAGCTTAATGTTGGCAATTTGCCTTCTTTGTGTGCTGCCCTATAAAGCAGGTGGGCACTGGTCAGTAAGTGGGGAACCCATTTTGTGATTTGGGTAATGCATAGAGGAATGCATGTACCTTTCTTGATCGGCTCCCATCAAGGCTTAGGGGGAATCTCTGTTTGCCTCAGTCAGCCCCCATTGAGGTTTAGGGGGACGATAGGAGCCGTAGCTCCTACCATTATTGCCCGCTCCTTGGAGAAGAGTGATTAGGGAGTGCTGTAGGAATTGGTGCTCCCATTATCAGCAACCCTCTTTTGAGAAGACTAGACTAGAATAAAGTAAGCTTATTTAACCCCTCCGAAGCTGTCTTCCTGTTTGACCAGATCAAAAGTGAACCTGTGCAAGAACACGTTAGTATTAGGAGCCTCCTGTGTTCTCCTGCACAACCAATGGTATTACTTGTGTGTTTACCTGTGAAACACGCCTCTAACACACTCTAGACAACTCTAAGCCATAAGTTGTAGAGAAGATACTGACCAGCAGTGGTATAAAGAATTTCTTCATCTGGGAGTTCTCTATGCTAGTGAAATCACAGGTCCCATCCATGTTCTTATATATGTGACTTAATATAAGTCTAAATAGTTGCCATGTGTTTGTTGTGGCAACTCTTCTGCATGGCTTGCTTTATGCACTTCAAGGCATGTCCTGTGATTTCTAGCTTCTGTTCTTTGTTCACACGGTTACTCTGTTGCCTGGAATATCTTCCTGCTCCCTTTTATCGTAACATCACAATTCTAGAACTGGAAGGGACTGAGAGGTTATGTAGTCTAAACTTCTTACCTACCTATGAGTAAACTGAGGCCCCAAAAAGTTAAGTGACTCACTCCGGGTCACATGGGTAATAAGTACCCATCCTTAAAAGCCTGACTCAAATGTCAAATCTTTCAAGAAGCCTATCCTAATTCCCAGAGTATCTGGCTGAAACCTTTTTAGTGCAACAAGGATAAGAATTTTGTGCATTTAAACTTTATATCCATCTCCCCATTTTACCTAGGGCCTAACACAGTGCTCTGTGTGTAGCAAGCATTAATAACTTTAATTTGACTAGATGATCTCTAATGTTCCTTCCAGTTTTAATATTCTGTGATTCTGATCTAAATATGTTACATTCTAGCTCACTGTGGTCGCTCAATCAATATTCATCAATTAAAAAAACTCAGGCATGAATCCCCAATAAAACAGAAAAGTTATACTTAGAGTCCATAACTTTGCTACAGAGCCCCAGTGGTAGCTAGAGCAGAGGCCATACCTCTGGTGGTATACAGATACAACAGGCCCCAAACTGACATTTTCTCTGGATATGAACTATGTCCCACAGAAGAACAATCTTGGGAGATCGGGTTGGACAGGAGAGTGTGCCTGGGACACTAGAAGGCCCCTGAGCCAGCCAAAATGATGATACTGACAGACAGCCTAAGGCAGGGGTGGGAAGAGGAGGGTAGCTGCAAAGTCAAGGGATACCTTAATAGAGGCAAAGCCAGATATTACCTGACAGGAATATATTCAAACTTTACCTGTGATGTTTGAGGGGAGAAGATGAGAAGACCCCTATGCTAATTTTGTTTTTAATACTGTTCAGTGCAAAGCAGATCAGCCTATTGAGTTCCTCCCCCAGGTCAAGCAACAGGTACAGAGACTGATATAGATAAGGCACTGTGGATCCTAAGAATGCTGGAAAAATTTCACTAGAGAGATTGTACCCTTGTATATCTGATGTCATCAGATCTATGCAGACAATATAATTAATTATATAAATAATTATATAAATTAATAAGCACTGACTTTTGAACTGAAAAGAAGGAAAGTTGTGTGTGTGTGTGTGTGTGTGTGTGTGTGTGTGCAGTGCTTGTAAAGTTCGTATAATAGTCTTGTTCTATACTACATTTGGGCAGCTAAATGGTGCAGTGAATAGAGTGTGGAGCCTGGAATCAGGAAGACTCTTCCTGAGTTCAAATCAGATACTTACTAGTTCTATGTAACCCTGGGCAAGTCACTTAACCCTGTTTGCCAGTTTCTTTATCTGTAAAGTGGGCTGGAGAAGGGAAATGTCAAACCACTCCAGTATCTTTGCCAAGAAAACCTCAAATGGGGTCATGAAAAGAGTTGAAAATGACGATGACAACAACAACATACTGTGTTTACTGCACCATAAGGAAAAAAAATCCTCCCTCCACATTTTAATTTAGTGCAAAAAATCAGATTTCCCTCAGTGTTTTGTTGTCTGTTATACCTGCTGAAACTGTTGTACCTCTTGTACCCCAAGCATGTGAAGACTCCCCCGGTAGAATGGACGATGAGAACAATTTGTTTCAACGGCCATGAAGGCTACCAAAGCTTAGAGTACTTAGAGCTTGGTCAGATGTCGAAGATGCCAAGGTCGTCCACTGCACTTTTGTCTTACCATTGAACTTTGATAACTCTGGAAAAGAGAGTGAGGCTGATGACTTTGTGAAATCCAATTCAAGATATCACCCTGTGATGACATTGGTCCTCTTGGAAAACAAAAGACAAACAACACCTGCTGAAACTACAGTGATTGACTATTGCAGTAGCATTTCAGTTCCCTTTTTTTTAAATTGGAAGTGTTCAAGGCAGTAGTTGCAGGACCACGAGTTGGGAGGGAGAGAAGGGGAAGGACTAAGAGACCAGAGCAGTGAAAGTCCTGGGAGCTTGGAGATGAGGCCTCCATCAGCCACTGGAGAACAAAGGCGGAGCCCTGGAGGTCACCCCTTGCACCTGGATTCAGTCATCCTCAAACCCCTCTTGGGGATCCATTCCCCCCCTTGGTCCCAGGAACCATGGGTAGCCTGAGGCACCACTTCCAGAGGTTTCTGGAGCAGAAAAACATTGTCACCAATGTCCTGGGGAAGCTGAAGGAGATCTCCAGTATCAAAAAGTACTACCTGGCTACATGTTCCATTGCCTTTCTGGCCCTCTATCTCATATTTGGCTATGGTGCCTCCCTACTCTGCAGTCTCATCAGATTCATCTACCCAGCATATGCTGCCATCAAGGCCATTGAAAGCCCCAACAAAAATGACTATACCATCTGGCTAACCTACCGGGTGGTATATAGCATATTTGGCCTGGCTGAGTTTTTCTCTAATATCTTCCTTTTCTGGTTCCCCTTCTACTATGCAGGGAAGTGTGCCTTCTTGCTATGGTACACACTTCCAGTGGCCTGTAATGGCTCCCAGATTCTGTATCATCGCCTGATCTGCCCCATCTTCCTGAAACACCAGGCTTCCATGGACTGCCTGGTAACTGACTTGAGTGGATGATCCCTGGACGCAACAGCCAGTTTAACCTGGGAAGCAACCAAAGCAGGCATGACTTACTTCCAGAAGAATAAATGACTGGACACCCTCCTCCCAACCCCCTCAGCATCAGGGACCATGGTCCCCAATCCTGGACCATGTCTAGGAGCTGGCCCCTCCCAGTTGGTCTGCAACCAACTCCATGCTCTTGGGCTTTAGGGCATTAGAGAAGTCTCATCAGGCTGGAAGATGGGGTGGGCA